ACGGTTCATTGATATTCGAGAGAAATACAATGCACACGCATGCCTGCTGTCTGTCTAAGGGGTGTGAGCTGCTGGTGGCAGAACACACGCACATCCTCACACACACACATCCTCACACACACACACACACACACACACACACACAAAGCATCTCCTTCCTTTGTTCCTCTGCTCTTCTTCAGCTGGCCAGGCTGCGCTCTCCTCAGCCCAGACATGTAAAGCCAGCATCCCTGTCCGTGTAAAAGGTCTAGATGGGGCCTTCCAGCGTAATTAACACTGATCCCGGTCGCTCGCTCCAGCTTCTCTCCCTGTACGCCAATTAAAAAAGGGAGCTATGAGAGGCTCCCGTCTTCTCCCTCCACCCGTCTTCATCCCTGGAGCCCTTATAGCCTGGGACCGAAGGGTTCCTCACAACTTCTCACTTACTCATTTATAAACACACACACAGACACTCACACACAAAATTACAGGCAAGCACTATACACAAATACAAATCTAATTGTTAACATACATATGCAAAATAGAGGTATATTTTGTATTCTCTGCACACACACTCACACATTACAACTGAGGAGAGCATGACTTTTTTATGTGCTCATTGGTCCTTCATGTGGTTTTATGATGATATATTAATCAAGGCAATAAGTCATAGAGTAGGGACAGTCATTAAAAATATACCTACACCCAGTGGAGTCGTCACTTCTCTACTTCAATACACTAAAAAGGAAAGAAAGATGAGAAGAAGTAGAAGAAGAATGGACGAATTACTTCAAAGTGCCAGATCGCTCCAGTGGGTTAAACTTTGAGGAAAGACTGGATGTGTTCTTATGGCCCCATCTCACTGCGGCTAAACTACATGTTATGGTGTATAGAAAAGATACAGCATTTTTTGAAACACACTTATTTGCTTTTTTGCTGAGAGATAGAGGAGAACGTCAATGCCAGTCTGTAATCTGTCTGTAAATTATGAAGCTCCAGCCAGCATCCTGTTAGCTTAGCTTAGAACAGAAGCTGGAAACAGCTAGCATGGTTCTGTGCCAAGATAACAAAATCTACCTTCCAGCACCCATGAAGCTAACTAATAAACATACTGTATCTTGTTTGTTTAATCCCTACAATAGACTATACCTGATGTGTAAAAAAAGAAAAAATCTGGTTCTGCAGGGACTATTGACAGGGGTGGTCTCCGTCTTCTCATCTAACGCTCAGCAAAAAAGCAAATAAGTATATTTCCCAAAATGTCAAACAATGGGTTTGCAAGAATCAAGAGGAAGTGACATATTTCACACAAATTGGTCAGATAGTTTACTAGATTCAGCAGAGCCTGATACTGACACTTGGAGGATCATGATGTTAGACTAGCCCTGCCCAGGTAGTCTGCGTTATCGGTGTGGCATTGTGTTAGGCCATTCCAATGACATCACTCGCTCCACTCTCGTTTTCTTTTTCAAAGCAAAAAGAACATCTTGTTAATTTTCGCCTAACAAAGAGAGAAAACTTGAATCTGTAAAATACTAAGCTTGTTATCAATATTCACTCGGATACTAGAAACTGAAATGAGTTACCTCACACACTGGATAAAGTTGACCAAAAAGACAATGGTGAAAGATTTTGTGTCAAAGCTAAAAGACTACAAAGTACCTTTTTTTTAAACAATATTTAATATACAATTTCAATTTTCATAAACCTAAGACTTATATGCAACCTGATAACGTAGCCGTAGCCTGAACACGGTGGAAAGGCCAGCCATACAGCCAATCCAAAGATCAAAATAATAATTATAAGTCTCATTAATTAATTCAATTAAAATTCCAGAAAAAAAGCTGGATAAAAGTGTCCCTAACATTTCTTTCAACATTAACGCTTCCACAACTACACACACTGTATGAAACAGGTTAAAGGACACCAAAGCTATTGAAAAGGAGCAGTCTTTCTGTCTTTTACATCTATAACCCCACTCCAACTTTCAAGAACATACAGAGAGCCACAGGGCCGACTACTCGCATGCAAAACACAATCTGCTGGGAACCTAGCGTTTTGAAAGTTTCATAAAACCAACAGCAAAACAAGAGTGGAGGGAGAGGGGTGAGGCAGGAGGCCTGGGCACAGTCAGAGGTACGGATAGCCGAGCTCCAACAGGAAGGAGACGCATTCCAGTAAAGCTACTAAGATATTCTCCTCCCTCCCCTGCTAACTTTCATATAAAAATGCAGAACATCCATACAAGCTGGAGACCTACAGCGTGTGTGTAAAATGCATCTCTTTTACAGAGCACACTGGGCAAGGGGGGGAGGGGGGATATGCCAATATGAGTGGGCTTTGACTAAGGGCAGAAGGAGAGAGCGCTAGGAGAGGGTAATCTCATCCACTGGCAGTGACCCCCCCGCCCCCCCCCAACCCTCCCCTTACCTTCCGGGTCTCCCTGGGACACAAAACCAGCCAGTGCAGCATCCTTGTTTACAGCGTAGGAGGTTCCGGTGAGGGGGCACAGGGCAGGGTCAGGGGATGTAATGAGGTCGGACACGAGGAGAAAGGGATCAAACAGAATGGGAGATGAAGATGGACGCAGATACAATGACCAGGTATTGACGGGCGGACCCCTTCGGACCCTTGCCCGACCCCCAGGCGCTAGAATGAAAAATGCAGGCGTTCTCAAATGGAGCCGTTTCACACATAAGGAACCGAACTCCATGGGATACACACACCAGCTCAATCCTCGGCCCCTACTGTACGTTCAGAGGGAAATCAATGAGTACCAAAGGGATGAGGCGTGGATTTATATGTGAATTCCATATGCCTGAAGGTTAAGTGTGAAAAGGGGAGGCATATGGAGGGAGACACAGCAGAAGGGAGGAGAAGAGAGCAAGGAGGAGGGAAGGAGAGAGTTTTGCAGAGAAGGAGAGAAGTTTCCTGACACTGAATGCACTGCGGAGCCCTCTTCCCAAGAAGGGGCTGCTCTTCAAAGGGAATATGCATGACGTGGTGAGCACTGCTCTGGCAACAATAAGGTTGTAAAATCTTTATCTCCACAGGCTGCTCGCATGGCTCACCTTGACCTGATGGCTGGAGTTCTGTTTCTTTCTCTCCGAAAGAACACCCCCCATTTTTCTCTTCTCTCCAGCAATCTATAAACCTGCTCTCGCCATTTGTTTTTTTCCACTTCTCCCCCTCTGCTCTTTCTCTCCTTCTAACCTTCTATAGTCTTCTCATTCTCTCTTAAAACTCCAACTGCTTATCTACTTCTCTGGCTACCTATATTTTTCCTATATAGATTCCTAAACTTTTGCACCTTACATCTTTTTTCCCTGCCTCCTGACCTCCAGAGGGAGCAACAAGCCTTCTTCTATTTTTTCAGTTTTACTCTAGTTCTCCCTCCCCTCTCCTCATCTCTGGTCTCCATCTTTCTTTCTCACTGTGTCTCCTAGTGGTTGTCCTAAAGGGTGGAACTCATAAATGATCAAAGAAATGTGCCCCATCTGAAACTTTGAAACAATCAATGCTCAGGCTGCACATGCATTATAACAATTTAAAAATGAACAGCTTCCGAAACAAAATATTGAAAGAATTGAACACAAACCAAAAGGTCTGATGATTTTGCTGAGGGACTTATTCAAATATTCAACTCTTTAACATGTAGACATTGTACATATTCAACCTTCAAGCTTGAAGATCGTTGTATAAAAGGAAATAGTGAAAATAATAAGTAGTGTCCAGGGTGGACTGTTGTTCTCTTCCCTCTTTCCTTTCATCTCCTGTTTCTATGACCACTCACTCTTGCCAAATAAATAAAGGGCAACAAATGAAAAAGTTAAGTGAATAGTTTACTTTTGTATGGCAATGTATGTCACAGTATTGTGTTACTAAACCTAAATGAAAACCTAAACTTATCTCATCCTAACAAAATGAGCAACATCTGAATGAGCTTTAGTTCAGATTACGCAATCATGTTACCTGCAGAAACCATGCAACAGAATAAACTATCGCACTGTTTTTTGTTAACAGTATAAGTAGCGTATTCCATCTAAAACAGCAGACACACACCAGACATGTAAAAAAACAACAACAAAAAACTGAATGTGACCTACAGCATCCACCACTTTCAGCCAACTACAGCTCTGAATTGCCGCAGTGCATTGTGGGGAACTAATTAGCATGAAGGACTGTGGTCTCTGAGCAACCATGACCTGCAAGCTGAGCTTAAACTTCTTCCTCGTGCTCTCTCCACCTCTCCATGCCTGAGGCGCTGTAGAGAAGGTGTAGTCACTGGTGCGTTGAAATGCAGCCCAAGTGATCAGCAACTCAGGGGAGTTAGGAGAGAGGAGGGGAGGGAAATATGGGTGTTTCCCTCGCCGACAGTGTGTCTCTCAACATGTGTGTGTGTGTGTGTGTGTGTGTGTGTGTGTGTGTGTGTGTGTGTGTGTGTGTGTGTGTGTGTGTGTGTGTGTGTGTGTGTATTCAGTGCACATGAAGGTTTGCAAGGTGGGAATCAGATTGACTGCTGTCATCCATGTCTGTCATTGTTCTGCTCTTCCATCGTTCCTCTTTGTTCCCTCCGCTGTGCTCCTCACGCTCTCGCTTCATCTCAGTGTGGTCTGTGTCAAAGCCCTGTGGTGTGTTGCTGCTGCCTAATCAAACTAGTCAGTGTCACTGGGCGGCCTTATCTAAAACACATGGCCATGTCAGTTCCCTTCACTCGCCAGCTTCTCAATGCTTAGCAGGTTCCCAGGCTAAATAACTTTACCTTAAAGAGTCTAAAGGACTCCTGTCCACCAGGCCACAGTGAAAGAGTGAAGGGAAAGGAGGGATAAGAGCGCACATTTGAATATATTATTACAATAAGTGTATGTAATTTTGATTTTTTTCACTTTACGCCTTGAAGTGGATACAGTATAAACATGTGGAAAAGTGCAGGTGTATTTGTATGTATTTTCTTACAGTACTCTAATATGTTGTGGATAGTTTGTTTGCTTGTGTGTGTGTGTCTGAGGCGATGTGTTCTCATGTCACTCCTACAGCCGAGTGGGGTGACAGCGTGTGCACATATCCCCATAGTTTACCTCGTAGAGAAGGCATCCTAGCGACCAGATGTCAGATTTGAAGTTGTATCCGTTTTCATGTATCCTCTCTGGTGACATGTAGTACGGAGTACCCACTGGAACATAGAGGGAGAGAGAATGAGGGAGGGGGAGAGGGGGAGGGAGAAGGACAGAGGGAGATAGACAGAAGTGGAAAAGGAGAACAAGACAAAGGGAGAGAGAGTTAACATTTTGCAATGCAAACCCATGCTTCCCCCAGTTCATCAACGTCATCACTGACACACCTCACACAGTACAGGAAAGCATGCGAGGAATGGAGGTGTAGTCTCACTCTGTGACACATTCAGGAAGGAACACTCGCCATATTGTAACAAAGCTTAAGAAAGAAGACTAGATGGAGACTTTCCATCATTGCCTCTGTTAATTCAAAGTAAGCAACAGTAAGATGATATTTTCATGAGGTTGGATATTATCATGCACACTCGTACAGTGTGCAAAGTACCGCATGCAAAGTACCACATACATATGTTCAGCAGACATACTCGCACACACAGTCACACACTAAATACACCGTACATAAATCAGTTTTGATTACTGCGGCTCGGTAATGATCTGAAACAGTAGTCAGAGAATACGCCCAGGGAGCAGCGGTGGAGCCTTAAAAAGTTTGCCCGTTTCTGGATCTGGTTTGGAAACTCAAGAATCCAAAACTGCCAGGGCGGCTGGCAGAGCTCCAGAGAATCAGACCCTCACCCAACTGGACGCAGAGACGAACCACAGCTCAGCATCACATCCATATAACACGCTAGAGGAAGCTTTCCGAGCCGAGTCTGACTGCCTGCTTTTTTCATTTGCTTTCTATTTGCTGTGATTTCCAATGTAAAAGTCCATCAAGCAAATCCAGCAGAGGTTTTTAAATTAATCACATATGGTTAGCGGATGGAAATTGTACCAGCCCTCTAACCAGTGCTGAGCAGCTCTCAGTCCACATCCTTTCAAGCACACATGTGAGTGGAGGCTTGCTGACATATGGAGATGACAGCTACATTGGCTCTGTGGCTCTGCTGAGTCGCTGTACATCCATCAGTAGCAGCGCTGTACATGACAAAGCATACTGTAGAGCTTGTGCTTTAGATGTCAAAATAATCAACATCATCCTGCATTCTCCTTGTGATCCGTACTGATTATTAACCTGAAACTGATCTTTTACTCTCCCATTATTGACTGGAATTACTAGTTTTACAAGTTTAACAGATTTGTTCACATTTGCTGAATACCAAGTCCACATGAGATAGAGGACACAACATTGCATTGTTTTCTTTATATAGTATTTATGACTTATCTACTTGTTAGAAATGCGCTAAAAAATGATACCCGCTGATTTTACACGGTTGTGACAATATGGTAGGGTTTTTCTAGAGAAATCTAGTATGAGGGCGCCAACGTCACTTCCGGCCAAATGTTACGGTCCCACCAACTTTCCGGCATAATAGTTTGTTCATGTCTAACATTTGCTGAGTCATATATTGCACCTCAAACAACAAATACATCCCATGTTACAGTATCTTTACTTCCTCTACAGAAAAAAGCACAGTAAAAGAAACAATCTAATTCAGAAATCACAGTTTAAGTGTAAGCCTGCTACCTGCCACTCATCCATCAGCAGACCGACCGGACATCGATCCCCTATTTATTCGGAGCTCCCCATAAAGAAAGCAGTCAATCCCGTCCGACAGTCAATTTGACTCGATTTTCACATTTTTTTAGTAATTATACAGTTTTTGATGAACATAAATATTGTTTTCTGGCATCACTTTAACATTTTACATGGAAAATCTGCATTTGGGTATGAGGGCACAAGCCTACAGTAAGAGGGCGCAGTGCCCCTGTTGCCCTGTTTAGACAAAACCTGGTGTTGACAAAATCAGTCAAACATATAAACTTTAAGGCAGAGTACTACACTTTCAAAGATGTGTCATTGACCACATTTTGCAGTTGTGGCTGGTAATTAGCTTGTTGAGTAATTGGTGGAATCTTAAACAGTACATTACATTACATGTAATTTGTTAGACGCTTTTATCCAAAGCGACTTACATACATTCAGTACTGTGGACAATCCCCACAGGAGCAATTTGGGGTGAAGTGTCCCAGGGACACAACGACATGCTGACTGCAGTGGGACTTGAACTTGGTACCCCCTGATTCGAAGTCCAGCACTCTATCCACTGAGCCACAGCCGCCCACACTTAACACCAGGGGCAGAAAATGAAAGTTTTGGGGACCTTTTCGTTGCTCTACAATGTGAGGTTTGATTAAAGCCAAATTGAAAAAGCAGTTTTACTTTATTTGAACATTGCTTTGGACATACAGTACGCCTCCGCCAAATTGGTAAATGTAAAAGCTAACTTCAATGTATTGAATTGGGTTATTTTCTCTCTTCGCAGAATAGTTTTCTTAATAATCAAACCAAGACAGTCTTGCCCCTAGCATATATACAAATTGTGCACTGGGTAAAATGGGTAGATAGAGCTATGAGGAAGAGTGGAAAGAACGCAGGAGAAAAGTTGTCTAGCAGGAAAATGGTAGGAAAAACCATAAATACACACTCACCAGCAGCACTCGCACACAAACTCTCCAGAGCCATTCTGCACATTACCAGGTTAGAGTAAAATCAACTAATGCCAATGCAATTAATACAACTATTACAGAGGAGGCTATTACATTTCAAGTGTATGGGAACTGAAATAAAAGCTTTTAATTTTGGTGCGAATCTAATTGGGTTGAGAAAAAGCTTTCATCTTAAATTTGCAACTTTTGAATAATGAAATGTTACCTGTCATTCCAAAAATAATAATCTGCAAAGGCAGAGAATACACAAGAGAGAGCAAGTGGAAGAAGAAACAGGGGATTGCTGTTTTAATTGGTCATCAGGTTGGTGGTGTGTATGTGTGTGTGTGTGTGTGTGTGTGTGTGTGTGTGTGTGTGTGTGTGTGTGTGTGTGTGTGTGTGTGTGTGTGTGTGTGTGTGTGTGAGAGGAGCTCCACGGATTGGTCACGTCACTGTACCCAGGAAGAAAAAGAGAAATCTCCAACGAGGTGTTCTGGGGCAGCATCGACAGGTCTTTTCTGTGTTAGAGTTTTACTCGCTACAGGGTGTACTTTGAGGGTTTGTGACTCTGCAGACCGTTTACATGCCGAAAAACCTTCATAACACACAAGGGGACGGGTAATAACCGGAAAAGCATGACATGGGATCTTTAAGCATAGTTCCGAGATTGGAAACCTGTGCCCTTTTGTATTTTAACCAATAACACGTAAAGTTCTAGGTAGCAGGAAAGCTAGAAAGACTTAATCTTGTAGTCAGAAGGCGTTCTCTGTGTTCCCCTATATTCCCATTATGATTTCGTTGGTGTTATATATGTCCTGCTCACCCCTCACTTCCTATTTGGCTTTCCTCCTACCCCTCTCTGTTTCAGGATTTGCTTGCTTGCCTTTATACGAAGAAGCCTTTATATACATGTTGAAATAGTCATAATTATTTTCAACATCAGCCTCCCTGAAGTCTTTCTGCTTCCATTTTGTTCTCCCTCCTCCTCTCTTCTTTCCTTTTCCTCCCTTTCCCCGGTACTTATCGTTAACACCACTCTCATTACAGGTGTTAATTGCAGATATATTATACTACTTATTACTGCCAATTGACTAGTCCATCATTGCTCCAACGATTGCATCAGCTTTCCTGTTCTTTTAATCTGTTTCTCTTTTCAATCCAACTCTGCCAGGGTTAGGGCAAGGGATATAGGCATCCTCCCCAATGAAAACATTGTGTGTCTTTTGCATGCTTGTGTGTATTTTTGCCAGTCTTGTGACAGTGTTGATGTATATGCATCACTGAGTGTTTATTTGTAAGCTGCAAATCTGTGTGTATGTTCAAGATCATCTACCTCTGCATGTGTGCATGCATGTGTCGCCATAAGGATATGCACATGTGTCTTTGAGCATATATACAACTGTATAGGAGGCAAAGAGACTAAAAGCATTTCAGTGAGTGTGTAAAAGACACAAAACTAACTGAGAGTGTGTGTGTGTGTGCGTGTGTGTGTGCGTGTGCGTGTGTGTAGGCTGCTGAGCGGCTCAGTTGAAAACCTAGTAGCTGACAGGCTGTATGCCTGGACCTCCATCTCATCTCCACCACCCTGCTACACTGTTCACTGGCTCATTACAGACCCACACTGCCACGTGATCACACACACACACACACACACACACACACACACACACACACACACACACACACACACACACACACACACACACACACACACACACACCTTCCGTCCCTCTTTCTCACTTTTGCTTTCCTTTTTGTCCTTCATTTTTTGTCATTGTCATATTCTCCTCCTTCTCTCTCTCCCCCCCTTTTTTCTCTCCAACTTGTTTTCCCTCCCTGCTTGCTTTCTCCTCTCTCTTCATGGTGTTACTGTCACATTTTCTTCTCTCGCTCCCGACACATTCTACTTTTCTTTTTCTTTGTCACTAGTTCTTCTATTTATTATCCTTTTTTCCCCGACATATTGCTTTCGTCTCTCTTCCACTTCACTCTCACTCCGTTAGCCGTTCTTTCTTCCATTCAACCCAAACTCTGTCTTTCTCTGTCTGACTAAAAGTCAAAGCACCAGAGGGAGGGACAGAGGGAAGGAGAAGGGAGGACAAGTAAAGTAAAGAAAAAGCAGGAGCAGAGAAGGATATGTGACAAATAAAAAGACAGAGGAGATTTGCTATTTGAAAGACACGGAAAGAAATGTCAAGGGGAAAGTCATGGACAGAGGACGGGAGGAGGACGCACTGCGAGTCCCTTGTGTCGACAGGTCACACTAACTCAGGGACATCATCAGTACAAAATCCTCCACTCAATTAATTCTCAGTTAAAATATTAAAAACAAAATTCAAAGTATTTAGAAAATTTACCATTGCAAAATCTTATATGCAAACGTCACCTGTCCATTTGTTGTGAGTAAATATTATGAGGGCAGATGTAAATGTTTTAAATTAAATGCATCTACGTCACATATGTGTTTAACAAATATAAACCTTTGATTTTTGCAGTTTTCTGGATATTATTGAGGCAGTCTTGATTGCTTGAGATGAATGCTGACAGTATTCTGGTACCCTGTGCTCATGGGGCTGCCTATCCTTTGTCCGCCTAAAGAGGGTGCTGTGGACTCAACATTTAATGAGCAATCACAGTAGCCTTCACTCCACTCTGCTGGCACTGCAGGCTGCTGAGATGATCGGGCTACTGTTCGGCAGATCATGTGATTCACACTTTCTCAAACGGCTGGGCCGCTGCTGTACAGGGGCTGAGAATAGCACGCTGTTTGTGGTAATAACAGTTTGAGATGGGGATGTGAGACAGTGTGAATAACAGCGTTTATATTTGTCTCTGGAATCATTTTTCTACATTTTCCAATCTATGAAAAAGCTGAAACCATCCAGGGGTGTTTGGGTGTCTGTGGAACATTTTAACATATAAAACTGAACGTGCAACAGCTTAAGTGCATTTGTCAGTGAACTAGAGATATTTTAAACGTATTATTAATACAGTTTACTAAGGGAAGTTAGCTAAAAAGAAAAGAGAAAGGCACCGTTTGCAAATGTGATTTATATTGTTTTATATAGACCAGACACCTGAATCAAAATAATGTATAAACAAAATGCAACTACAACTTGCTCCTGTGTTTGTACAGTCGCCAAATGAATTTAACCAAATCAAAATTGTTCAGAATAACTTGTGTGACATATAAGAAAGTGTTCTTTAACCGATGACCGTCACATGGTTCTTTCAAGCAACTGGATGACATTTTTTGTCTTTGTTTCATTGGCAATTCTTCTATATGGACATGTTTTTGTTGGAATGAAAACGTAAGGAGAACACAATATATCTTTTAAATGCTGCTTGTGTGTCAGCATTTTTCACTGATGCTGCTATTGAGAATACTCTAGAAAGGTTGAAGTCTTGTCATTGATTCTTTTCCTGAACTGTTTATTTTCATTTCAATATATCTTTCATGGCCTGCCTTTTTTTTATTTTTTATTGTCCAGCAATATTTACTGAAATGATAGACAACAAAAAAGGTAGAGGAGATAATAAGCTTTGAAATATGGCAAAGTGAGGAAGGCCGGTTGGAACAGGCAGTTAACAAATTGTTAATAGGTACATTTGTGTTTTAAACACTAAGACACCCCTTAAAAGGTGTGTATGTGAGTCTCGCTCTGTATTTGTGTTAAACCTCATGTCTTCAGTAAATTGAGGAAAGATATATTTTTCCACTGGAAGGATAAAGCTTGAGGTGGTACAAATGTATGTTTCCTTGGAAATGAATAATCAGTTAAATGTTATTTCGCACTCTTCTTGAGGAAACAGGCCTGACTCCTAAAGATTTACAGTAAAAGGCCTAAGTCATTAACACCTTATGCCTTAAAGAAAGCATGAACATGTGGTACCATTCAGTTTGTCAGTTTCAAAACACTTATATGTCTTAAAATAGGCCTAATGTAAAATTCTCGCTTCTTTGAACACAACATTCTGAAAAATACTATATCATTTTACTTCCTAGAAGTGACAAACACACCCATCAATGCCAACAGTAACCCGGATTGTAAAGTTGGCTGGCTTGTTTTATGGCTCACAGTCACAATCAAAGCTGTGTGTGGAAGGCCTCTGTTGAGTCTTCATCTGTGTTAGGTTTAAAGGTCAAGGCAACAGGAAGTGGCTAAGTGGCCTATGAAGGGGCGGGCACAGACGTGGCCAGGATCCATGACTACATGACACATGGCTCTGGGCTCACCATGCCTAATGAAACACATCCAACATTGGGTGATTATTACTAGGGACCGCTGTGACTGAAAGTGTCTGAGTGTGCATTTGTGTGTTCATGAGTGGGTAAAGAGCATGTGTTCAAGTGTGTGTATCCACATATGTAGAGACTGTTGCAAATTACCTAGTGAGTGAGCGGCCGTTGTTTTGGAGCTGAAGAATCGTCCCAGGCCCAAGTCTCCAAGTTTCACTACTCCTGTAGCTGTGATGAACACATTGGCTGGCTTGATATCTGAAGAGGAAAGAGTCATTCAATGTAGATAAAAAGAGCTTTCATACCTTATTTTTCATGACAGAACATTTGAGGGGCAACAATGGCTACAGTAAAGCAATATACTCATTCAGAAAATAAAGTGCAAGTTAATATTTAGATTTACTGGATGAAAAATATATTATTGAAAATATATCAATGTGGACGTAACCCGACCATTTCTGTAACTTTTTCCTGAAATCATGTAAATGTGACCTGCATCAGCCTTCGCAATGTACTGCTCTAATATAATTGTAAGCGTCTTTTGAATAGGCGGCCTCTGTTAAGTGGTCATTAAAGCCCAGAACTCAGGGTTCATTAGTGTCCCTGTGCCCTAATCAGAGTCAGCCAACGGAAGTACACCACCTGTAGGTGTGTAGGTGTGTGTGTGTGTGTGTGTGTGTGTGTGTGTGTGTGTGTGTGTGTGTGTGTGTGTGTGTGTGTGTGTGTGTGTGTGTGCACATGAATCCAGGACTTGGTTTGACAGCATATGGGCCCATAAACACTGTGTTCTCTGTTCTCTGTGTTGTTTAACACCTACAGTTAAGCCTCCTGTCATATGCAACTAGGTTGATCAAACTGAACATTTCATTCACTTCACTTTTAAGAGGCCGTGCTAGGCTCTAACTAGTATGTATCTTCCATTAGTATTATAAAACCTTTTCAAAACTTGAATTGTGGCTCAAGTTATAAAGATTATACGATTATCTTGTACTTTTAATGAACAATAAGCCAATGTCCTCGTTTAATTAATGTGTGTGTGTGTGTGTGTGTGTGTGTGTGTGTGTGTGTGTGTGTGTGTGTGTGTGTGTGTGTGTGTGTGTGTGTGTGTGTGTGTGTGTGTGTGTATTTGCATCAGCGCTACCTCTGTGCATGACTCTCCGGGAGTGCATGTGTTCGAGCGCACTGCAAAGCTGGACGAAGTACTTCCACACCGTTCTCTCTGGGATAAGCCTCCTCTGCTTCTTAAAGTGCTGTGGAGTAAACACAAACAGACCAAATAAGAAAATCAAAAAGCAACACTAGCGTACCTCAAAGAAGGAACAGCTCAAATATTTTAACAGGAGTGGGAAAATGTCTTGTGTGGCATGGAATACCAAAATGGTAGAGAATTGTGGATGTCTGTGTGTGTTTGTATAGCATGCATCCCCAGCCACAGTCCCCAGCTCTGACTCCACTGCTAATGGAACCCAGACCCCTCTCCTCCAGCCGGTCCCCTCCTAACCGAGCATTGGCTCATTTTCTCTATGGCCTTCAATGGAAAGCACATGCATTCTCAGAACAGAGAGGAAATTTGTGGTACCTTCCAAAACTCCCCCATCTGGCACACAGCTCTCTTTTAGGTACAGCTTTCAATGGCACAGTGGTCACAGTTGTTTTCGGCTTATTTATTTAATTTGGGGGCATGAGGAAGTTGTGTTGTATCATCAAGAGTTTCGTCCATCCCCAGAGAAGCCACGATGGGGACAGAGTCGACATAAAACAACTTAGGCCTCATGCATTTTTGATTGACAGTGGCTATAATCAGCGAGTAAGTATAGGAAGTCTTCCTCAAACAGCAGTGGGTAAGACTAGGTTTGATGAGAGTCCTAATTAGAAATGAAGCATTTTGCACAATCTTTAGGGAATCTTACCAAGAAAAACGTTTATTAAGAGCAACAGTACATAAGCTAACCCTAAGTAACAAGATAAATAAGACCTGAAATTTTTCCTTCGCGATAAACTTAATCCACCACATTGTAATTCGATTTTTTTTAATCTAATTATGTTATATTTATAATATAACATATATATTTATAATATAACATACTGCAAAATGACGATTACCAACATTACAAACAGGACACTTACATTAGCAATGGGAACTGTGTCACAAACTTGCTCTTACCACAACTACTGAAACACATTGAGATAAGTGCTAAGCAACACTGCAAAATGCAACTTCAAACATGATTATCGAACGGAATCAAAACTTGTGACAATGTCTTCCTGCGTCACCATGTTTCCTGTTGTCCTGTTCCAACCAGTTCTGTGCCTCTTCAGGGTGTTCTCTTAATGAGGCTACAATATGTAAACACTACATTAGGTAAGTATATAGTAGGAACAAGGTATATCCATTATAGAAATAGAATAACCGTCACTAGTGTGGTCAGGGGTCATGGGGGTGAAAAGACAGAAATGTTTGAATTACTGGTGCATAGCCCTAGAAAAACAATGTGAAAGAGATGAGCGAAAAGAAAGAGACAGAAAGGGAGACAGGAGAAAGTGAAGCTATAGAATGAAGTACGATAAAGAATGTAGGTTATAGGTGAGGGTAAGAGATACAGAACATGAAGGAAGGTATGAGAAAAAGAGAGGGATGGAGGAAGAGAGGGAGAGGGAGAGGGAGGGATAGACCTTGGCCTACTTCCAAACAAAGCCTCAGTGAGAAGCCATTCTTCCCTTGCCCTCCAATTTCCATATCAGAGGACCGTTTGATGTCAATGGGGAAGCCCACCAACACCACCCTCCTCTTCTCCATGCCTTTAACAGCAAACACTGCACATGCAATATTCTGTAAGTGCATGCAAATCAAGGACCATTTGATTTCATTTGAATTCTGAGATGGTCCGAGAGAGAGTTATAGAGATTGAGGGAGGGAGAGAGAAAAAAAGGGAGGAGAGAGCGGTGTGGAGGATGGAAAATCAAAAAGAATAAAAAATGTTAAATTCATGCATGGGAGGGAGGGAGGGGGGGGTCTGTTTTACATATGGCACACTGTTCGAATGTGTTTACTTCACATTACAGCCTGGGGGGGGCTTATACGTGGCACACACCTCTGGACTGCCACGGTAACATTAGAAAAACAAAGGAGACAAATGGTGAGGAGGAGAGGAGTGTACTTGTGTTTACGACTGTATGCTGTCATCAGCTATTAGGTGACACAACCTGAATGCTAAGCTAAGATAGCAGTGACGCTAACTGGTTTGTCTGTTGTCTGTCTGTTAAGTCCATCGCTTAACATGCGGGTGAGTTTCTTTTGCTATGGTTGTGTCTGCACATTTCTATGTCCGTACTGTATGTATGTAGTGATTTGTGTGTGTGTGTGTGTGTGTGTGTGTGTGTGTGTGTGTGTGTGTGTGTGTGTGTGTGTGTGTGTGTGTGTGTGTGTGTGTGTGTGTGTGTGTGTGTGTGTGTGTACTGGGTATACCGGATATGTGTTAGTGTGTGTGCTGAGCCTGCCATGTTCACTCCCTTGTACCACTAATCCTCGCCTCTTCTAATTTGCTGTGCTGAACTGCGCGGATGTGGAGCTGCTGAGTATGACTGCAAACAGCTTGTCGAGCTATGCCGATACAACGCTGCGGCATCATTTATGCATGGGAGAAGACCAGGCTTTTTATATGCACACCACTAATTTGCTATACAGGCAGGTTCTTATAATAACTGGGGGTTTGGTCTCAAAGCCGAATAACAGGGCGACCATGGTTTGTAATCGCAACCCATTTTTCGCAACCCATTTTTGAACAAGGCTTTTCTTTCTGCTCCAATTCTTACAAGAAATTCTCTCCACACAACGCCTTGCTGTTATGGGTTAAAGATACGGTCAACTTTACGTATTCACGTGGCTCAAAGCTGCAATTTCTATAATTTAATCACACAGAAATGTGCTTATATTTCAACTAAATATTGACTTAACTGGTTGAAAACATAGAAATATTACATTATTTTCTCACCAAGATAATAAAGCTGGACAGACTTCTTTAGTGTGGCAAAATAGTAATGTACACGAGGAGGAACAAACTATTAAAACATCAAATTCCTTCATTACAATATTACCACAGATTACAGCTTTCATGAAAAGATCTCACCTCAAGATTTAATATATAAAACATTTAAGGAAAACGTGAGATGAAAGCCAAATAAGCGGAGCATTTTTCCCCATACCCCCTACAAACAACACATGCTGGATCTTTATGAGCATTAATCATTGCTTGATTCTTAACAACTTCCCTTTGACAGTCTGCAGACTGCTGGGATTAAAGGAGGTTGCGGGAAGCATTATATTAGTTGGTTGTTGGTTTCAGCATTGAATGGATGAGTCAGATTGACTCAGTGTCCAGGTAATACAAATCCTGTAAAAACCACAAACCACTGACCGACTGCGAGCATTCCTTCATTTATTAAAAAGGCCACGTCAGCAGTTTGCAGCCTCCTCGCCAGCATTCCTTTTGACACCAAATGTGTGATATGAGGTTGGACTGGGTCTTTTGTGAAATGTTATATATACTGGAACTTTCTCACTTGATCTTTTGGTAAATCTGATAAACCAAGACAGTTTAGTGTGTTTCCTTTAAGGCTTACTTGAAGTTTTTCATGATCACATCAAAAAAAGTCTGCCTCACCTCCAGAAGTGTGGGTAAGAGTGTTTGATAGTGGGTTTCTCACTGTAGAGGTTAGGGTTGTGATTCCTTACCTTGATCATCCGCGAGAGGTCCCCTGCATCCGCCAGCTCCAGGACTATGTTCAGCTCATTGTCTTCAATAAAAGACGCATGGTACTTTATCACATTGGGGTGGTTCAATTGCTGTGGGAGAAAAAAATGGTCATTAAGGAAATAAAAAAAGGAGACATTTTGATGAAACTTGTCTCATTAAAGGGCTTCCATGGTCACACTATCTGATCAGTCAGTTATTGAAGAAGCTAGACAGTTGCATCCTATTGCTAACTTGTCTAGCAACTAACAACCCCATCAGCTGATGAATAAACAAGGTTCATGTTAGGAGTTTTGGAATCCACTGTACTTTCATCACCAATTAAATCAAAACCAAAATTCCATATTAGGTAAGTGTGGACATAATGAGGCGGTTTTGTCCTTCAGTGTGACAAAGCTGGATGGGATGTCACAACAATCCCTCTGTCTGTGATGACAACAACCCATGTGTGAAACACAGACACGCACACATACACACACACACGTCTGACAGGCTGACATGGCTGGCAGTCAGAAAAACAAGCATCCCAGGCTCATCTCTGGCTGAGATTCCTTCCTGTTGGTTGGTCAATAAGGCAGGAACAGCATTCCCTGTAGTAAACAAAAAGTCTCTATCCATCCAGAGCAAGAAGAAAAAAGGGGGAGGGAGGGAGAAAGGCGCAATGAAGGGTAAGAAACAAATGACACAGTGACACAGACAAGCAAAAGAATGATGGAGACAGGGCAGGGTGAAGAGGTAGGGAAAGAGAACAAAAGGTGAGGTAGGAAAAAAGGAGCAGCAGAGGGATAAGATGAGCAGAGTTAGAGAAGGGGGGGAGAGATAGTGATATGTGGAGAGCAGGAGACATGGAGCTGTGTGGCATGGCAATGTAGTGTGGGG